CCCTCTGCGCAGAGAGATTCCTTTGCCGTAGTTTCATCCTCTGAAAAGTCTGGGTAAGGGCATTCCCCACCTCATGGGTCACTTGAGGACTGAGGAGTGGATGCCTGCAAAGTGCTCAGAACAGTGCTTGGAAAGTGCCTGTTTCATCGGAACAGATGAAATGCTCAATAAATGTCAGGAGGAGCCATGGCAGCAAGGCAGCATTTTTCTTTTTCTTTAAGATGAAAAAGCATCCTGCGGCTTTGACTAGCGCTTGTACCCAGTGTGGGCTGACCCTCCTGCAGAGGGACACATCAGATGTGAGTGTCTCTCTTGTGTGAACCTCACAGTAATAAAAAGGAAATGCACATTCTTAATAAGAAAGAAACAGGGCATGCTCCTCTCGCTAGCTCTGAAAGCCCTGGTTAAAGAGACAGTCCACTGTTCCCTCACCCAGGAGGGGAGAGAAGGAAACAGGAGTGAGAAAACATAAAATCAGAAAAAAAAANTGCTTCCTGCACTGGAAGTCACCCGATGCCCATGTGCATTGGTTAGGATGCGACTCTCCTCACAGCCTCTTGATGGCAGAGCTCTGATTTGGTCTCTTGTGATCCTCTTTTCTCTCTCGTGATTTTATGAAGGCAGAAGCTCCAGTCATTGTGTGTTCAAAACCCGAGGAGACAGGGGCATGGCCAGGGTGGTGACGGAGTTCTCCACAGTGGAGAAAAACCTTTCCCAGAAGTCCCAGGGAGACTTCCCCTTTCATCTCACTGGCCAGATGTGGGTCACATGGCCACTTTCAACCTCAGTAGCAAATAGAGTTGACTCATTTAAATGTCTATCTGTTTGGGTTTTGAGCTTCCTGATAGCCAGGGTGAAAAGAGCAGCAAACATAAGTTACCTAATGCTCGTTGTCCAAAAAGGAAGAAACAGAGTAGTTCTGGGAGACAGCGTTTCCTGGCACTCAGTTGGAAAAGAAATTTCTCACGTGGGTCCCTGTGGAGAGGGTATTGAGCAAGCTCCTTGGCAGCCGGAGCAGAAGTGATTTCCAGATGCTGCCTTCTGGTAAGAGCCTACAGAAATAGGAACTAAGGATCTTTAGAACCCTTTTCAAATCTTGAAAATCTACAATTTGAGAACTCAGCGACCTTTATTTTGATCACTCTTTCTGGGTGCAGTAGGAAATAAAGTGACCTAGAATAAGACTGGCTGGCAATTACTGAGCACTTTTCACATGTTCCCAACACTGTGTGGGAGGTGCTGTGATTATCTCTGTTTTACAGACAAGGAAGCTGAGGCACAGGGACTAGGTTTTGAGGCCCAGTCCTATAACTTACACACTGCCCTGCCTCAGATAAGTTTGTCCTGCTCTCTAGACCTCATTTCCACCACTATGTTTAATTTTTGTAATACTATCTCTGAAGTTATCTCCTGGTGTCATTTTAAGGATAAAGAGAGGTGTAGAGTATGAATGTTCTTTGGAAAACGTGAAAGCGTCCATGGAGTGGAAAGGTTTTTAAACACATTTTGATCCTCAAGGTGACTTGTGGAAATAATATGTTCTAGTAAAAAAAAATGATAACTTGCAATGGCTCCATGCTATCAGTAGTTATAACCTTTGGGGACAGTATGACTTAGGGTGCAGTTCATGGTGAATGATAGCGTTTGCAAATCATTATTTCGGTTACTCTTCTTGATAATTTCTAATCTTGTTTGGCCTCTTGCTGATCTGATTAGATGGCTGTCACTTCTCTCCTGACTACAGCTGACAAGGGGCTTATTTTCAGAGGATGGAGAGTCTGCTCTGGCCACTTCCTTGCTGTTTGTTTGGGGTTACATTGTTAATGAGTTTGATCTCCCATCCTTATTTTTTCTTTGCCCGATCCTTTTAAGCCACTTGCTCTTTTCTGTCTTGAGACTGATTTAGTTAAAACCAGATAAGTTAATCAGTAAATCCATTTTATTGAGCATAAGGAAATGGTGGTATGTTGCAATATCTTGGAAGTGAATGCATGAGCCAGCCCCTCTGCGCAGAGAGATTCCTTTGCCGTAGTTTCATCCTCTGAAAAGTCTGGGTAAGGGC